CTAGCTACTATAACAACTGATGGATGTGGACTCAGCACTAAATAATATGTTTGTTTATTTATTTATTTTTGAGACAGGGTCCCACTCCATGACCTGGGCTGGAGTGCAGTGGTGCAGTCATGGCTCACTGCAGTGTTGAACTGGACTCTAGCAATCCTCCTGCCTCAGCCTCCTGAGTAGCTAGAACTACAGGTACATGACACCATGCTCAGCTAATAAATCTTGTTTAAATATCTTTGCTTTTCTAGTTGAAAAGAGATCATACATCTTAGTCTCTAAAACTAAATGTAAAGTTCAGCAAGGTTCTATCCACTTTTTTTTTTTTTTTTTTTGAGACAGGCTGGAGTGCAGTGGCCCAATCTAGGCTTCCTGCAACTTCTGCCTCCTGGGCTCAAGTGATCCTCCCACCTCAGCCTCCCAAACAGCTAGGACCAGAGGCGTGTACCACCACACCTGGCTAACTTTTTCTACTTTTTGTAGAGATGGGGTTTCACCATTTTGCCCAGGCTGGTCTTGAATTCCTGAGCTCAAGTGATTCGCTGGCTTCAGCTTCCCAAAGTGCTGGAATTACAGGCATGAGCTACCGTGTCGGGCTTTCTATCCCCCTTTTTGGTTTGTTTTTGTTTTGTTTTGGAGATGGAGTCTCATTCTGTCACCCAGGCTAGAGGGCAGCGGTGTGATATTGGCTTGCTGCAATCCCTGCCTCCCAGGTTCAAGAAATTCTCCTGCCTCAGCTCCCTGAGTAGCTAGGAATAGAGGCACATGTCACCATGCCTGGCTAATTTTTTGTATTTCAGTAGAGATAGGGTTTCACCATGTTGCCTGCCAAGGCTGGTCTCAGACTCCTGAGCTCAGGTAATCTGCCTGCCTCCTCGGCCTCCCAAAGTGCTAGGATTACAGGTGTAAGCCACCGTGCCCAGCCTCTATCTACTTTTAAGAGGGAATAGAGTAAGAATGTTTCCAATTATTTTCTATAAATTCAACTTACATGATAAGCACTATTAGAAAAGCAAACAATAAAATGATATAAATAGATATTTTTACTGCCATAAAACAGAAAACTTCAGAGCATTGGGCGGGTGCCGTGGCTCACGCCTGTAATCCCAGCACTTTGGGAAGCCGAGGTGGATAGATCACTTCAGGTCTGGAGTTTGAGATCAGCCTAGCCAACATGGTGAAACCCCATCTCTACTAAACATACAAAAATTAACTGGGTGTGGTGGCAGGAGCCTTAGTCCCAACTACTCAGAAGGCTGAGGCAGGAAACTCACTGGGAGGTGGAGGCTGCAGTGAGCCGAGATCATGCCACCGCACTCGAGCCTGACCCACAGAGCAAGACTCCATCTCAAAAAATAATAACTTCAGGGCACAGAGTGCTAAACTGCAATATAAATTAAGTTCTCAAGACTAATATTTGCTCATCATACAAAGAAACTTGCAAGCTTCTTAATATATACATTCATGTATTTGTTTTGTTGTTCCTACTCCAAAAGCTTTTCTTGTTTTAAAAACAGAGGTTTTGTTTGAGACAGAATCTTGCTCTGTCACCCAGGCTGCAGTGCAGTGGCACAATGTCAGCTCACTGCAACCTCTGCCTCCTGGATTCAAGCGATCCTTCCACCTCAGCCTCTCAAGTAGGTGGGACTATAAGGTGCATGCCACCACACCTAATTTTTGTTTTTTGTACAGATGGGGTTTCGCTATATTATCCAGGCTGGTCTTTAACGCCTGGGTTCAAGTGATACTCCTGCCTCCTGCCTCTGCCACCTAAAATGTTGTGTAAGCCACTGCACCTGGCCAAAGGGCCTTTTTTTTTTTGAGACAGAGTCTCACTCTGTCCCCCAGGCTGGAGTGGAAAGGTGCAATCTCAGCCCACTGCAACCTCTGCCTCCTGGGTTTAAGAGATTCTCCTGCCTCAGCCTTCTGAGTAGTTAGGATTACAGTTGCACATTACCATGCAAGGCTAATTTTTGTATTTTTTTAGTAGAGACAGGGTTTTGCCATGTTGGCCAGGCTGGTCTCAAACACTTGACCTCAGGTGATGCAACTGCCTCGGCCTCCCAAAGTGCTGGGATTACAGGTGTGATGAGCCCCTAGCGCCCCACCCAAAAGCAGACTTTTAAATAGTAAAAGTCTGATGGTAAATTCTGAAATTAGATGCACTCAAAGTTGTTTTCTTTTCCAAGAATGACTAGCTTTAAGAAATTTTGCGGCCAGGCGCGGTGGCTCATGCCTGTAATCCCAGCACTTTGGGAGGCCGAGGCGGGCGGATTGCCTGAGCTCAGGAGTTCAAGACCAGCCTGGGCAACAGGTCTCTATTAAAAAAAAAACTAAATATAAAAAAAAAAAAAACACAGAAATTTTCCCCTAGCCTTTAACAAGCTATGTCTTAATATCTTTTTTATTCTTTGAGTATAGAGCTACTAGAGATTTAAATTTCTGGCAGAAGTCAAAAAAAGAAAAATAGAAAAGCTTTTCCATTTACCCAGGTTTACAGAAGAGTAATTTGGAAGTTAAGAGAGCATAAGCTTTAGCTGTCAGTCTTAGCTCCAGCTCCCAATTCTACCACTTACTAGGTATGTAACTTTGGATAAATTCATTATCTATACTAAGCCTCAGTTTCTTCATTTGTAGTGAAGATAATAATAGTCCTTTCCTCATAGGATTGTTTTGAGCAACTGCTTTTAAAGCACTCAACACAGACCATGGAACTGAGTGGGAATTCAAATGTTAGCTATTAGCACTGTTAATAACATTCAGGTGTTAAACCACGTACTTCATGAAAATTAACTGGAACTGCATGGTGAAGAAACCAAATATCCCTCTAAAACAGCAAAGGCTGACATTCAAACCAGTGATTTATAAAAGAGACGTCCAATTACCTAAGGGTATTGCTATTGGTTGTGGAGTTTTTCCTTTTCTTCTGTCAAGTCCAGAATTATTGATTTCAAAGAAATGAAGTTATTAGACTGTAGTCTCAAGCACTTCTCTAGTCCTATCTTGCCCCATTCCTATGCAGACTGGCAAGTACCATTGCATAACAGGTGGCTTATGTTATTTTTAGGTATGTGCATCACAGGTTTAAATAAAACCTTGTTTTAAAGCAAACATCCATTCAACTCTTGGCAGACACTTATCTACTTCTAACTAAAAAACACCTGCATTTAAAGGGAAATGTTCGCCTGACCCTGTCATTCCTCTTCTTGCTGACCAATGCCATGTTCAAATCATTTCTATTTCCCAATTAACAACACATACCTGTAAATAAAGGGAAGAATTAGAGCCGTGGGACATCTTTTGCACCATCCCATCCTTTTGTAGGATGCATTCCTCCAAGTGAATCACATTTGGATGTTGGCTCTTGATACTGCTTAGTGCCCAGAACTCACGAAGGGCTAGTTCAACATTTTCAGGTGCGTGACATCGAATTTTCTTCACTGCCACCCGTGCAGAGGTCTTTCTGATGACTGCTTCATACACAACACCGTAACTACCTCGGCCTACCTCCCGTATTAGATCGTACTTTGGCTGGCTACTCACCATCTTCAAGGTCGAGGTTTCTGGAAAAATCAACAAAGTGCTCTGTTGAAATTATGTATACCTACTGGCTTGTATTTCCTTTTATGTATGATTTGCTTGTCATCTGTTTCACTGTCTGCAGTGCTTAAGGGATATTTGCTATATCTAGGGAAAATCTAATTTTAAGAATAGTAACAATAAAGCTAACAGGTAGTATTTACTATGTATCAGGAACTGTTTTAAGCTCTTTAGAATATTAAATTTGGTTAATCCTTATAATAATCTTATGAGGTAGATACTATTATGGTCTTTTTATAGATGAAACTATGTAATGGAGAGGTTAAAGTAAATGCCTAAGGTCAAGTAACTAAGCTAGTAACTGGTGGAACTGGGATTTTAAATCAGGCCATCTGCCTCAGACAACCACAATTTTAAGCACTACAGTATACTGTCTCTTGTATGAACTGCTTGAAAATGTCACTGTTAAAAATACATTCCCAGGGCCGGGCGCGGTGGCTCACGCCTGTAATCCCAGCACTTTGGGAGGCCGAGGCGGGTGGAACACGAGGTCATGAGATCGAGACCATCCTGGTCAACATGGTGAAACCCCGTCTCTACTAAAAATACAAAAATTCAGCTGGGCATGGTGGTGTGTGCCTGTAATCCCAGCTACTCAGGAGGCTGAGGCAGGAGAATTGCCTGAACCCAGGAGGCGGAGGTTGCGGTGAGCCGAGATCGCGCCATTGCACTGCAGCCTGGGTAACAAGAGCGAAACCCCGTCTCAAAAAAAAAAAAAAAAAAAAAGCATTCCCAAAATTCAGCATTCTTATCTACTGATCAGGAAAAAACAAGCAAGCAAGCAAAATCCCAGCTTCTTCTTCAGGCTGACACAGATATAATGGTCATAAAACAGCAAAAACAAAACCCCTTCACAGTTAGAAATACAAACACCTGGCTTATGCTTAAGGCCTGAAAGTGAACCAGAACATTTATAGAACTGAAAATGTTTGTTTTCATTATGAAAAAGTAAGTGGCCAAACTCTTATTCATATTTTAATTTTGTTTCTTATGTCATCTCCTTATTTCTTACAAAATAAATGAAAATAAACTTTATGGAGAAGAAACTTTTCTTTAAAAATAAAGTAAGCTACTTAGAATACAGTTACCTTTTTTGTATCATTTAATAATAGCTATTTAAATTTTTTTTACTTATGTTTCCTTTTTACTAATCAGAAGAGAGCTGGAGTAAACAATAGTTCTAGGTCATTTTTGCCAACAAAAAAGATCCTGTGGGCCGGGCGCGGTGGCTCACCCCTGTAATCCCAGCACTTTAGGAGGCCGAGGCGGGCGGATCACTAGGTTAAGAGATCGAGACCATCCTGGCCAACATGGTGAAATGCCATCTCTAAAAAAAAAAAAAGACCCTGAATATCAAGGGGCTCTATAACAGAGTTCTTGGGAATTCAACTTAGTGAATGGTTTAAAGGCGAGAGCAAAGGCCCTATACAGAAATGCTCACGTGCTGAATGCAGAAAGTCTAAAGTGTACTTCCTCACTCCCCAAAGAATTTCTAGATTCTAACGAACTTCACGAGCGAATTCTCATTTGTAGATTGTTACCACGGGCAAGAAAAGTAACCTGAGATTTTACAGTATTTATTCTGTTCAGCTGGGGATGCAAAAAGCTACTGACCCTAGAGCCTGAGAAGTTGGGATCTGCTGCGTTAAGTCCATAGGATAGATTTAATCAAGAAAGGACTTCTGAGATTGCTTTCAGCCCCACTTCCTCTAACCGGACACCCACCCTTCAAATCGCTACCGAATTCCTAGTGTCTGATTTCCTGCCACAGAATCCTCTGCCCCGACTGCACAGCAGACGAGCTTTCCTGCTCTGCGGCGATCGCCAGTCACATCCACTCAAGGTGGTTCGTGTCTTTGAAGCAGTCCCATGTCCTCTCCAGCCGGGTACAGTCCCCATGGGGAGAAGCACCTTCCTGAATAGGGAGGAGAGGGGTTTTTATGAAACCCGTGGGATCCCGGATCTAATGATGCATCCGGTGCGAACCTAAGTGACTTTCGACGGCAAGTGGCGGGACCTCGCTCTCGCCGCTCTAACCTGGCGCGGGGACGCGGCCCGGCCAGGCCAGACACCTGCCGGCGCCTATGAAGGGCCAGTCCGGGCCAGAGGTGTTGTCCAACGCGGCGGCTCAGGCCGCGCTCATTGGCCAAATGTCAGGCCCTCCCCCTCCTCGGCCGCGCTCAGATGAAGCCCGGAGGGGAGCCTCCCGAGCCCCTTCGCCCAGAAGAGCCAGCCCTGCAGCTGCCTCAACACTTTGGGGCTGGAGGCTGAGGGCCGGGGCTCGGGGAGGTGGCCCGGGTGTGAGAGGAGGCCGCGGCTAGGGCCGGTGGCCTGAGGGGCGCGGGGCCTTCCCCAGGATGACTCCACTGACAGGTCTGTGACAGGCATCCCGGGGAGGAAGGCACATGCAGGGCGGTCGGCACTGCAGCAGGGCCTCTCCGCCACGCCGAAGAGCCAGATTTACCTCAGGGTAGACGCTGCCGCTTCTCCCTCTCACGGGCTCTGCAGGCCGCCATTATCGGGCAGCTCGCGCCTCCGCTGCAGCCGCCGCCTCCAGTCAGCGGCCGGCGCGCGCCCCCGTGGTGCGCGCGGACACACCCCCTTACGCTGGCGGCCCCGCCCCCCTCCGGCTTTCCGTAGCCCGAGCCGGGAAGTTCCGCGCCACCGATCAGGCGCGTGGCCGGCCCTCCGCTCGCCACCTCCCTCTCCCGCGGATTTGCAGAGCCTGGAGTCGGAGGTGTGCGCGCTCTGGAGCGCACCACTGGTGGAGCTCCCCGCAGGGGTGGCCGGGCCCGGGAACCCCGAGGCCATGCCACGCGGCGCGCTCGGCCACCCTCCAGCCGCAGTGGGCGCGCAGGGCCTGTGGCCCTGGGCACGGTCTGCAGCGGCAGGTCGTGGCCTGGGGCTGCGTGCGCCCCGCCGTGTCCTCCCCTCCCCCTCGCCACCCCCCTTCCAACCTACCAAGCTGCGGGCTGGGGTGCGGGGCTCGCTGGGGTGGAACGCCCCGTGCATCTTTTTCTGCGCGGGCCCTGGGTGCCTGCGGGGCGCGGTGCTGCTTTGGCGGGCCCGCGTGGAGGCGCGGCCCGAGCAAGAAGGCCTGGCGTCCGCCCCGCTGGGAGGGAGGCTGCAGCTTTTGTCCGAGTCACTGAGCCGTGTTTGCGGGCGATGCAGTTGCCGAGACGGCGGCAGCGGCGCGGGGCTTGGTGCGATCATCTGAGAAGACGCCGTCCCCTGCCCCGCCGGCGCGGTGGTATCTCCCTTAAAGAAGCCGGCGCCTCATTGTTCCCCGGCGGTGGCAGCAGGGAGCCAGGGCCCCCTGCCTGGCGCTGGGAGGGAGGGGACGGTGGCGCCCGCACCTGGCTGCAGTGACCGCGGCATCCCCCCGAGGCCTCTGGTGGAGGGTCGGTCTGCAGTCGGCGCGCGGGAGACGCCTCGGTCCGAGCCCGGATCCACCGCGCTCCCGGCCCTTTCGGGGCAGGACGGTCAATGGGGGCTCCGCCGCTGCCACAGTCGCCCGGGTGCCACACGCTGTCAGTCAGATCCCGCACGCTGTCGGCCCCACAGCCAGCCCGGGGTCACTCAGGCCCGGACCCCTCAGTCATCCAGTTGTTAGATCAGTAAGCATCCGCCAGAAACGTCCATTCCTTCTTCCCCGATTTATTTTGTACCGATTACTTATCAGCAAGGTGATAGTTCCTCCTAGCGCTCGCTCTATAAGGCACGATGTACAAAGAATCCCTGTCGCTGTGCTCAAAGATCAACCCATTTTATTTCCTGTTCTCTATTTATGCCATTTCTCCCGGGAGTCTGAGACTGGGTTGTCTTTACATGTATAAATGATCTTGTTTAACCCTAACCAAACCCCACAAGGGGAGGTTTTATTATCCTATTTTTGCAGATGAGGAAATACCTCTGCCTCTCTTTGCTGAAGTGTCTTTTTTGGGGTGTGTCTACCTTGAATACCCACTCCCCTGGTGTAATATTCCGTCCCCTTAAAAAACCCCACAGCGGTTCTGTCATCTGTTCAGACTTTTGTCCTGAGTGTCATCCAAGTGTCAGGTCTTCAGCTGTTTGCTGGAAACACTGGTGACAGGCCAAGACTTATTTCCCGCCCTCAAAAGTAAAGGGAAAATAATAAGGCTCTGTGTACACAGCTAGCTACCTGTGTGGGTTATTGATCCAAATCAGGAGGGACCTCTTTCTCAATCAAAGTAGCCTTTGTGTTTTCTTTGTGTGTCATTGAATATCATACGAACTCTTGTTCTCAAGTTAGCTGCAGATGAGATTTGAAATCCACTCTTGTCCTCAATTTAGGCTCACTGTAAAGTCCTTGAGGTGGGCTTAGGGCTTGTGGGGCCTGAAGCTTAAATAATTTGAGGTGTCCTTAGGGAAAAGGTTATACAATGGCCCTGTGAACAGATACCTGGAACATTGGAAAGGGTCCCTATAAGCAAAGGACTCCAAAGCTTAAGATTCATTAGCTTCAGGGTGGATCTGCCTCCTGCTTAGCATGTTATGTCATTTTTTGTTGTTGCCTGTAGGCCTCCTAAAAGACAGAATTCCTGGGGATAGGAATCTTGTCTGTGATTCATCTCTGCAGCCTCCTCAATCTGATATGATATCAAAATACACCTGCATTCTCATACATTGCTGGTGGGAAGGCAAAGTGATATAACAAAGAAATTTGGCAATATATAGCCATATTATTTTATCCAGTAACCCTAAATCAAATATTAGATTTCGAGGAATCTATCCTAGTAATATACTGGCAAACACACACACACACACACACACACACACACAACAACAAAGCTGTATGTACAAGGCTATTCATTGTTGCTTTAATGAATAGCAAAAGATTGGAAACTGCTTGCATGTCTAATAATAAAGAACTGATTGAATAAATTACAGAACATACACAGGCTGAAGTACCATACAGCTTTGAAAAGTTATGTGGAAGAGGCCAGGCGTGGTAGCTTACACTGGTAATCCCAGCACTCTGGAAGGCTGAGGTGGGCAGATCACTTGAGGTCAGGAGTTTGAGACCAACATGGTGAAACCCCGTCTCTACTAAAAATATAAAAATTAGGTGGGCGTGGTGATGTGTGCCTGTAGTCTCAGCAACCTGGGAGGCTGAGGCAGGAGAATCTCTTGAACCTGGGAGATAGAGGTTGCAGTGAGCCAAGGTCACACCACTGCACTCCAGCTTGGGTGACAGAGCAAGACTGTCTCAAAAAAAAAAAAAAAAAAAAAGTGGGAGATTTCTTATATATAGGAATATCAAGAAATCTCTATGTTTATTATTAAGTGAAATAAGCAAAATGCATACAGGGTTTATAGTATGCTACTCCATGTGAGTAATGGAGAGGTAAATATACATTAAGTACTTACATTTAAAAGGTAAACAATGGAAGAATAAATCCCAAACTTCTAAAAAATAGTTGCCTATGTGGGCTGGAGGGGATAGGAATGGGAATGAGATGTCTATGAATGTATCTTCTTATATAGTACTATTTTAGAAACTTGGAAACAAGTTTCTAAAACAGTACTTCCCATTCCCATTCTAAATAAGCAGCTGAACACAATGGCTCACAGCTGTAATCCCAGCACTTTGGGAGGCCGAAGTGGGTGGATCATGAGGTCAGGAGTTCCAGACCAGCCTGACCAACATAATGAATCCCCATCTTTATTAAAAATACAAACAAAATCTACAGGAATTGGGTACGTTTTTAACAAAAATAAAAAATACAAACAAAAAAATTAGTCAAGTGTGGTGGCACGCACCTGTAATCTCAGCTACTTGGGAGCCTGAGGCAGAAGAATTGCTTGAACTTGGGAGGCGGAGTTTGCAGTGAGCCAAGATCGTGCCACTGCACTCTGGCATAGGCGACAGAGCGAGACTCTCTCTCAAAAAAAAAAAAAAAAAAAAAAAAGAATAAAGCATTCCATAAAAATTAAAAACAAATGGAAACAAGTGAACCATCTGTAATATCAGATTGGTGGTGTAACCACACAGAGAAAATAATTTCAAATGGCTTTTTAAGTATTTGGATTTTTTTTTTTTTAAAGACATGAGTTCTCCTTCTGTCACCCAGGCTGGAGTGCAGTGGTGATCATAGTCCATTAACCTCCAACTCCTGGGCTCAAGGGATCCTCTCACCTCAGCCTCCCGAGGAGCTCGGACTATATGTGTAGCTAATTAAATTTTTTGTAGAGATGGGCGTCTCACTATGTTGCCCAGGCTGCTCTTAAATTCCTGGACTCAAGTGATTCTCCCTCCTTGTCTCTCAGAGTGTTGGGATTACAGTCATGAGCCACCATGCCTATCCTTTATTGTACCTTTCTAGTGGGAGATAGTCTAAGGACAAATAAAACTCCATAGAAATACAATTGTATTAATCAGTCTTGGCTGGGCGTGGTGGTTTACTCCTGTAATCCCGGCACTTTGAGAGACCAAGGTGGGCAGATCGCCTGAGGTTGGGAGTTCAAGGCCAGCCTGACCAAAATGGAGAAACGCCATCTCTACTAAAAATACAAAACAAGTAACTGGGCATAATGGCACATGCCTGTAATCCCAGCTACTGTGGAGGCTGAGGCAGGAGAATCACTTGAATCCAGAAGGTAGAGGTTGCAGTGAGCCGAGATGGCGCCATTGCACTCCAGCCTGGGTGACAAGAGCAAAACTATGTCTCAAAATAATAATTAGTCTTATGGCTAGTAGTAATATTGATATTGCTATTTTGAAACTATGATATTATAAGAAAAAACAATCAGTAATTAGGTCAATAGCATTAGGAACCAAGATTTTTCAGTGTATGAGAAAATGTTACAAGTGTAAAAGAAGCTTAGGATAAACTTAGATCTGAATTAGCAGTATGTATTTTTTCTCTTTAAAAAGGTAGGGTCGGGCGCGGTGGCTCACGCCTGTAATCCAAGCACTTTGGAGGCCAAGGTGAGCGGATCACCTGACGTCGGGAATTCAAGACCAGCCTGACCAACGTGGTGAAACCCCTGTCTTAAAAAAAAAAAAAAAAAAAAAAAAAAAAAACAAAAAAAAAACAACGTATTTTCGGCCTGGCATGGTGGCTCATGTCTGTAATCCCAGCACTTTGGGAGGCCGAGGTAGGTAGATCACCTGAGGTCAGCAGTTCCAGACCAGCCTGGCCAACATGATGAAACCCTGTCTACCAAAAATACAAATATTAGCCAGGCATGGTGGCGGGCACCTGTAGTCCCAGCTACTCCAAAGGCTGAGGCAGGAGAATCACTTGAACCCAGGAGGCAGAGGTTGTAGTGAGCTGAGCTTATGCCACTGCTCTTCAGCCTGGGTGACAGAACAAGACTCTGTCTTGAAGGGGGGAAAAACTGGAAAATGGTATGTAGAGACTAAATCTGTGCATTAGGCCACCGGCCCTGCGTGGTGTCTCACTCGGGC